TTTTTATATTTTATTTACATTTCATTATTTTATTTCACAATTGGTTTTTAAATGACTATAGGTACCTATTGAAAAATCCATTGAAATACACTTTGGAAAGTGGTGGATTGTTATTAATATAAATAATAATAACTCGGCGAACTGTATCATATTAGTGCTTTGGCTTAAGATATCATTTGATTTTAAAATCATTTCCTTTAATGATCTACATATTTTTTTTTTTTTTACCACAAGTATAAACATATGAAATATTTTATACGTTACACTTTTCGTGCGTATCATGATAGTTATCTTAAATAACTTTTCGTTTATCAATCCATTTATTTTTCTTATATAAATTTCTTATATAAATTCAAAACACATGCAGATTTATCAAACATTGCATGATATAATAATAACAATAATATAGATTGCAATGTTGATATGGTTTTGTTCAACTAAATGAACAGTATTCATTTGATTTCGAGGTCCCTAGCTTCTTTAAATCTAGAAAAAAAAGTACGCAAAAAAAGTGTCAATATCTTTTTTTTTTCTGTCTTATTTATTAATTGGAAAGTTTTCCTGAAATTTATTGTCTAGACTTAGGTGCATAAGATTTACATTTTTATCGTTTGCTTATCGAATAACATTGGTAAACTATTAAAGTTAGGCATCGCTTAGCAATAAATTACAGAGTACAATAACAAGTGTTTGAGATTGTACAAATAGTTACAACTAGTCGGTATCTACCTACTAGTATACTTAACACAAACAAAACAGAACTCGCTAGAAGAATAACGGACTATTACATGTCGAATAATTGCATCATTTTTCATTACATAATTGGATTTATACTTAATAACAAAACTACTCTTGTCGGACATGGCTGTTGCGAGTTTGTATTGTTCTCGCCGGTTCGTAGGTATGTACCGCACTATATTTTTCTACGCGAACTTTTCATCTTCTTCTTCTTCTCCGTGGTTTTTGGCCTTCAAGACCATACTGTCCAGTAAATTTGCCTCCAACTTTTTCTTTCTAACGATAATTCTTTCCAATTCTCTCCTGGCTTTACTTTTTTTACGTCTTCTTTTACTCTGTCTTCCCATCTTAATCTACCCGAACTTTAACCACATGTTTTACACTTATCAATCATTTAAGCGCGAAGCATTACCATCGAAAAATGCTAATTAATTTTCTATGAACGAAAACATATTTAACACGCGTTTTTGCTTGCATCTCGTCAGTGGCGCTGAGCTCTAAAAAAAATACGAACAAAATCTATAAAAACACGTGTAAATAATTAATAAAAAAAAAAAAAATTCATTGTTATGCCTAATAATGAAAGCACGTGTTTTAAATGAAGAATATTTACTTCAAATTATCCATAAAAAATCTATATTCCTAAGCTCATTTATATGTTTTCACATCTTCCGAGGGTCCCCTGTGACACTTTTCGGTTTTTTTTATATTGTCTGCTTATTTTTAAAACTACCAATAAGTTTTTTCTTAAAAATTAGGATTCTCACATAGTTTCTTACGCCACCAAGTAACCATATTATAGTTTTGTCCCGTTCATGATTGTAATTTTCATGTGATGCTTATAAAACTTATGAATCCCAAAATGAAAAAAGTATACACAAGAATTTTCATCAAAAAGAAAACTCAACTATACGTGACCTTTGTAAAAATATTATGGTACACATATACTGTCTTACCGTAATATCGAAAAAGATACTTATAAATCCGCAACGAAATAAAAACGTAAATGTCTCACGTACGATATATTCTCGTGTCGTTTCGTTGTCAACTGAGTAATAGTTTTTTCGGTTTCGGTATAGTGTTACTATATATTACATATTACAGTAGACTCTTGATGATTCGAAAACCTCTATAGTTCGAAGAACATTCGTGTATTTTGGCCCTCTTTAATAATTTCAAAAAAAAAATAAGATGGAGACATCAGTAGATAATCAACAATTCAATTATTTTTGGTCAGAACCTCTATAGTTTGAATTTATTTATTTAATATGCACTTAGTTACCTGTTGAAAATAATATTAATGTATACTACTATAATACTGATATAGTATCAGTTATCTGTTAGTTACTCGCAGTATTATTGTTAAATTTAATTATATTATTTGTTTATAATTAATTAATCAGTTCATTGTCATTTGAATTATAACGACCTATAGTTACGTCAAATTGACGTAAAAATCACTAATGTATATATTGTAGATACCTAATTAATTTGTATCTCACTATTATAAAATATCTAATAACCATGTATTAACAGTTAAAAATATACCATTGTAAATGTCAGTAGCCAAGGCTAGGAACATCTTATCTTATTAATTATATTAAAAAAAAATATGAACTCAGATAAATTTAGTTGTAAGTGTGATTCAACTTATGTAGGTACTAATTTTACCAAAAAAATAGTATATGATTTTTCTTTTTAGCCTTATTCACCTTACCATAGTTTACTATTATTATATTAATATTATTATTATATTTACTATTTTTACATTTATTTTATATTTTTCCAAATTGCTGCAGTTCACTTTAGTTATATAATTTGTTATTTATCACTACTGCTTTAAGCCTCAGAAATAACAGTTGTCGTAATCGAATTGAAAGCAGTTAGTCTGAAAATGGGTCCAGTTATTAAAATAGTGTTTGTCGTTATTTGATAAAGTATGACGATTTCGCAGTTGAAGCCGGTGAAAAAAAAAACAATTTATTTTACCCTATACGTTGGTGGTATATACCAGCTTTAATTAAATATAAACATATATAAATAAAACATTTTTATATCATATGTACCTGTTATAAATAATAAATTTAATTCAATTAAATAACAAATATGTTCAACACCCACACAACACATTCGAATCGTTTTTTTCCTTGATATTTCGAATTCTCGTTAAATCGATAACTTCTTAAAACCTCTTAAAATTAATTTTCCACTCAGTCCTCTGAATTTCAAACCGTCGAAAGTGTACTGTACTTCGAATGGTTCTCCTAGTCCGTTCTCCTTCAACGTGAGGTACTTCGGGATTCCACTGTACGTATTTGCGGATATATGTGCAGAAGACAACGTTCTGTACGTGACAATATAAACAAACACGAACTAATATACCCGTTGGTCAGTTTATCCGCACACTTTCTTATACGAAAATGTATCATAGATGTATGAATAATATTTTATTGTAAACAGTATAGGAATATACGCAATTGGATTCAGAAAATAAATATTAAACTCAACAGCGTTGGTATATGCAAAACGTACGTACATGCTCGGAAGTTGAATTGGAAAATATGAAAAAAAAAAACGTATTTAGATCATAGTCAATCACGGGAATTTGAAGATACGAAAATTTTAATTTCAAGAAAATTTAATGGAAATATTATTCGATCCTTCAGCATCAATGAAAAAAAAAAGAAAAAAAAAGATTAAAAGCATTATTTCTACAGTAAAGAATAAACAAAATATTATTCGTCTCACATGCGTTTGGGATTCTAGGGATTATTTATATGGCAGTCAATATGAACATATTATACAGGGCACCATGACTGAAACATTGCAGAAACACGTGGTATCGTTAAAACAATGTATTACGGTCGATGATTGTGCGGGATCATTAAGACGGTTCCTGTTGGTTTTTTCATATTGTAGCGTATTACGCGGCCAAATTGAAAATGACAATTAAAAGGTCAAAATAATTGTCATGTATGTTAATACCACTAACACGTGCTGTTTTTATTGATACGTACTTGGTCGTAAACAATAACACTTCTGTACCGCGACTGTTCAAATATTTACCAAACGGTTTTTGGTTACCTACAGGGACGAGGTAAGTTGCAGGTGTATCATGCATCTCTACATATTATTGTATATATATTTCATATATAATTCGGTACTGGTAGTACTCGTTCATTCCGTGGTTCGAAATATTTTACACAAACACTATGCTACTTTGACTAATATCCAATTGAGTTAACTATACTCATATTCATTATCTACCTACTCAATTAATGAATTAATACTACTCAATTATTCCTCGTAAATTGGCACTATAATCGTATAGAAACAGTTAGAAAATTCGGTAATAAGAAATGAGCTGTACCATAATATTATAGACGCGCAGAAACATTTGGTGTAGTTTTGGTGACCGTTAATTTATAAACATATTTCATTTCAGAATACTTTCGTCGCATTTTGTTGCGCATGATTTGTTTAAAATATCAGTTAAAATTTCACTAGATAAAAATTAATTTTTATTGGCTTGCGTCATTTAAAGCAGGGAAGTTTATGTTGAATTAGATAAGCTTTTACTCAACGATTTTTTAACGTTAAACATGTGCGTGTGAAATATTGACATAAAAACGTCTTATAGTTCAGACATTTTATCGCGTTAGTTGGAAAATAGTTTCACAAAACTTTTCTTGATACAACATTGAGATTCAACTATACTTCATATTATAAGCGTAAAAACAGTGTATGGATATAAGCATTCATTCGGTATAAAAGCTGTAGGTGATAAGCTCGTATAGTTACTCGTATAGTTTAACTTCGCCTGGAGGAAAACTACGGGAGCCTTCAATCCTTCAATGCCCCTTGCTCGTGTCTGCTTAAAATATTTTAATTTAAAAATAAAATTAAAAAAATGTGATTTCACTAAAAGATAACGGGACAAACGAATTTTGATGAATATCAAACGAAAAATTTCAACGAGGATCTCCACAGTGTGAAACCAATCACTATGAATATTTAAATACTGATCTTGTATTTATGTATTATTTTGACATAATTATTAGCATATCAGCCACTGATATATTACGTTAGATCACCGTTAAAAATCGAAATAAACTGATTTCCAAAAATGCCAAATATTTCAATTTCCAACCGAAAATAAACCAGGGATGCTAATTTATAATTCGGGATTGTCGATTTTTAGATTTCAACAAGAGTTTATGGTAATACGAATAACGTTATTGTTATTTTCTATCGGTTTTCAGGAACGGTTCCGAGTGGAAGCTGATGTAGCGGTGAACAGGGCCAACATGTTGACCAGATTGTGGAAGTACGCGGGTCCCGAAGTCATGAATTCGGAGTACCTGCTGCACGCCGGCGTCATATCAATGGTGGAGTTTGACGACGACATATTCGCGGCCGGCAACTGTTACGATCAGCACCAGTACAAAGACTATCAGCTGTTCTGCCCGTACGCGTACAGGTTGCCCAAGGGCGAGGGCATCCTAGCCAAGGACCTGGCGGTCGAGTACAAGTACTTGACAAACACGAGCGAATGGTTTTTCATCGCCCGGAAGACCGCCGAGTCCGTGATAAAACGCAACAGCCAGTACAAGCACGGTAAGCACAACCATTTTTTTTATTTTTACACATTTCGTCCGCTGACGTCGAGCGAATAGAACTTGAATCGATTGGTTCACAGTAAGTAGTGGTCACCGGACTATCGATAATGCCTTCACTTGATTGCGTATCGTCACCTTTCGCGAAATTGACTCACTACACCCAACTCGAATAAAAACATTTCTGTATAATATTTTATCGTGTGAAATCAGTTCCGATTTTATCAGGATTTGAACACCGTGACAGGATAGCATTTTGTAGAGTTTAAATAAAAAAAAAAAAAAAAATTGAAGATATGTTATGTGAAAAATAGAGGTAAAATAATTTCAAGAAGAATTTAAGAGTTCAAACTTAGACATTCATAAGGGTTTTCTTTTAAATTGCTTTAATTTCGGCTTTACTGCACGTGATCAAATAATAGGAGTGATTTGAAACAGGATCGTTTGACCCCGTGTAATCAGAAATTACCAGAATAATTTGGCTAATAAATCAGCTTCTATTCCCCGAACCGAAATAATTTTGAATAATAACCATAAAACCAAACAATATAACTTCAATAAATTTAATTGATAAATTGTCTTGTTCAGGCATGTACGATGTAGTAGTATGCATATGTTATGTTATGTATAGAACATACGTGTTCGGCCACCGAATAGACCCAAAATTGTTTCACTTTAACATAGGACCGTTATTGTTGATTGTATTTAAGTAAATTTGGTGTTTATTAAACACAATGAAAGTACAAGTATCTCACGGTAAAACTATGCGTACTGAAATACGTGCGAATTTATCACTTTTACATTTTAATGTCTAATGAACAAGGAAGATTTTTATTTGTAATTACCATCATTTTTTTGTATGAATAATGTGAATGCACGGAATATGTTCACGTATTATGAACATGCAAGGTTCTAGAATCAATATAGGTATCAATATATATGATAATTTTAATTCATAAATAATATTTTAATATAAATTTCACAAACTACAGTATACAGTATGTTATAATCATATATATATATATACTCGTATATATATATCTGTATTTTATAAGTTTTTATTTGTAGAATAAAAGTATTCTAAAACCACACCGTAATTCATTTAAAACTTCACATATTTTTATTTTTATTATATTTTATTGAAATGCGTAAAAATAATGTACAATTCAATGCATGCTAATCGAATGTTATATTTATTATAAATAACTGAGCAGTTGGAGTATACTTTTATACGATTCAAAATTAAAGAAATACTTACTACTATATTTATTATTATTATAAATATAAATTATCTTATAAATGGTTTGCTTTTCGTCATAAATAGGCTTTGATTGATGATAATGGTTCTTGTACGTTGACAGTAACTATTGGAAGACAGAATACGTATAATTAATTTATGAATATAACTTTAAGAGGACAAAAGTATTAATAATCAATATTTCCACATTATGGACAAGGTTTCTTGAAACTTTACATTGTATTATAGGTTTTATTATAGGAATGTTGTAAAAATATTTATGTTTCGAAGTTTCAAATTTCATAAATAAGTTAATGCATAAAACTACATTTTATGAAGGATAAATAGAATAGAATTTAAGCATGTTGCTCAAAAAAAAAAAAAAAAAAAATAAGAATACTTTTCTAGAATGATTTTGGGTAGTTTTTTTTTTTTTTTATTATTAAAATAAATAATATAATATATCCATACAAAAGTGTATCAACAACAAGTCGGTGAGATATTGGTTTAGAGCGTAATGCTGTAAAAATTGATTAAACTCCGAAACCAAGTACCGTTAAATTAAAAATAAGTAATGATAAATCAATTCACCCGAAAAATGAATTCTAGTGGAGACGGATAACTAGTATATAATGGAGATATATTTTATAAGCTATTTTAGGAATTTAAGAATTTAAGGTTTACGAGATATTTTGATAAATATAATGTAATAAAACTTTATATTAAAATCTTATGATTTGTCTGTAAACTATTTAGGTAATTAATTATTATTAATTAATATTTTACTTAAAAATAATATCATATACTTTTTTGAAAAATAATAAATGTATAAGTAAAATAGTACAATTTAAAAAACAATTATAATTTTTATTATCATCTGTATATTTATATGTTATTAATTTTTTGTATCACATTGATCTTTAAGGATGTTACTGTTATAAATAAATAAAATAATTAAAAGTGTTTGTGAATAATAGAAATGAATTATTTTTACTATTATTTTTTTCCAGTGTAAATAATGTAAATTGCATTAGTAAAGCAGATAAATAATTTAACATAAGAGCTAATAATGGCAAAATCTATCAAATAAATAATTATAGTTATAATAATAAATGAAATCGTCAAGTTTATAACTTATTTTTTTTTTAATTTAAAATATTGTTATCAGCAAGATAAAATATTATATGACAAAGCTAGTATAAATGTAATGCAAGTGTTTTTTTTAAATAATGAGTACATATGTTATCGTATATAGACTATTTTCAGTATCATAATATAATATTTGTATCAATAAATTATAATGCAGTAATGTAATAATTAAATAATTAGTTTTACTCTTTTGAATTCACAAATATTATACACGATAACAATAATTTTAATAGGGAATTAGGTTTTTGGTTAGGTACCCGTATCAAATTAAAATGAAATAAATAATGATACAGTTTAATAATGATTGATAAAATTAATTTTATAAATATTACTATATTAAGTGTTTATTCATGGGTAATATAAGAAATCTCTTAAAATATTTAAGAATTATAAAATAATTATGTAACAATAAGTCTAAGGTTCTGTGAATAATAAATTACCTATAAATAATAAAAGCAAGAAAAGAACATTCGGTTTTTACAATTGATTGTAAGATCTACATTTGCATTATTAATTTTGATTCTAGAATTTATATAATAAGTATATTACATTTTTTTATTTGTACACTAACTAGTCAATGGTAAACTTTAAATACTTTTAAGTAACAATGTTTTCTCTGAGAAAAAAAAAATCTATCTATAAACGAATAAATAGTCATAATTTTGAGAAGTTTTATCATTTAAACAAAACCAAAGTGAAAAATATTATATTTATGTTCCTGAAAACAATGATTGAACTACTTTTATTTTTTTAAAAAGGTTTTTTTTTTTTTTTATTTTATTTTAGAAAACGAATATATACAATCTGTATAGACAATACAATAATTAATAATAATAACAAAAATGTACAGGGCTTGATGGCTTGAATGAAGGAGGCGTCCAGTAACGCTACTTCAACTTTTTTTTTTTTTTTATTTGTTTAGGAGGTCGCGTGGCCAATTATGCTTTAAGCGTCGGGGTGGATTATCCGGGATAGTTAGAGAAGAGAGATTAGATATAAGTGTATTTGAATGAGCTAATGTATTGGCGTGGAATTTTTTTATAGTGAGTGGAAGCAAAAGCAGAGAGATAGGGAATTTTGAGGTCGTTGTGAAGGGTGTTGTTGCTAACGTACCATGGAGTTTGGGTCAACAAACGTAAATTTATTGATTGGAAGGATTGTAACAATTTTAGATTTGAAACTTTGGTTGATCCCCATATTTGGATGCCATAAGTTATTGCAAGACGAATAAGTTGTTTGTAGATAAGAGTTTTATTGTTGAGTGGGATGTTGGAGCGAAGAAGGTGTCTTAGGCTATGGAGTTTTAATTTTAAGGATATTTTTTTAGTTTTGATGTGGGTAGCCCAAGTTAGTTGTTTATCCAGATGAATACCTAAGTATTTGACGGAATGGACAAAGGGAATTATATTGTTATTTAAAGTTAGTGGAGGGCTGATGTTAGGGCGCAAAGTGAATGTGATGTGTGATGATTTGTTTTCATTTATTTTTATTCTCCATTGATTGAACCATATTTGTAATAAATTTTAATGATTTTGAAGATTGTCGATGGCAACATTAATGTCTCGGTTAGAAGAACTTATGCAAGTATCATCTGCAAAAGTGGCTAGAATGGTGAGGGTGGAATGAGGTATGTCAGCGGAATAGAGATTGTACAGTGTTAGGGCGAGAATGCTACCTTGAGGGACACCTGCTTTTATATGATAATTAACGGATAGTTCGTCTTCACATCTCACTTAGAAAGTGCGGAGTGATAAGAAAGAGTTTAGGGTTAAGTATAGAGGAGCGGGAAAAAATCTCATTTTGTAGAGAAGACCTTTGTGCCAAATGCGGTCAAACGCCTGGGCTACGTCAAGGAATATAGATGGGTAAAAATGTTTTTTTTTTCTAGAGAAGAGGCAATGTTATCTACAATTCTGTGCACTTGGTGAAAGGCTGAGTGGTCTTTTCTAAAGCCAAACTGAGTATTGGAAATTGTTTTACTTTCTGTGATGATTGAAAGAATTCTTTTTAGTATAATTTTTTCGAGAATTTTTGAGAGGGAGGGTAATAGACTGATGGGACGATAAGAGGAAGGTGAGTCAGGTGGCTTACCGGGCTTATGAATTAGGATTATTATAGAATGTTTCCACGTTTGGGGAATGTGGGAAAGACGAAGAATTGAATTAAAAATGTAGGTTAGGAGTAAGAGGGCTTTCTTGGGAAGATGTTTAATAATACTATTAGTGATAAGATCATGACCAGGTGATTTTTTATTTGGTAAGTATTTAATAATGAATTGAACTTCTGAGGGGGAGGTGTGTTTTGTAGGTAGAGACATCGGAAGAGCATTGGTTAACGATTTTTCTATGAAGGATGTATGATCAATGTCATTTATATCAGAATGAGGCGAAAAGTTATTTTCTAGGTGAGAGGAAAATAAATTTGCTATTTCCAGGTTTGTAATAGCAAAAGTTCTATCGTTGTATTTGATGGGAGGAATTGTATTTTTTTGGTTTAGAAATTTTTTTTTGTAGCTCTCCAAAGCGAGTTCGTTTTTATTAATGAGTTAATATAGTGTTGATAATTATTACTGTTATGTTTGCGAAGAGATTTTTTAAAGAACAGGTAATATTGTT